TGGTGCCAAAATGGCTGGAGACCACGGCTTTATTGGTAATTGTTTCTCACAGGGTGTGGGTTAGCAATTCTGAAACTACATTACATTATGTATATTAGGGTACAACAAATAAAGTATATTATAGATAATGAGATCCAGCTTCCTCACCATCAGAGAAAGAAATTAAAAATATATCAACAAAGTCCTACAATACGCAGCTTTCTGTCTTCTTCATTTAGCTTTGTTATTTCAACACTCAATAGTTTGCTTTTTATTACAGAATGGCGTTCCCTTGTGTGGATGTAACAGAGTTTATCCACTCACCTATTGAGGTAGGAACAGGGATCCTAAAAATATAGTTATGGTACAGGTCGAAAATGGAATCACAAAATGGCTAAGTATTAAGATGGAGGCAGTGATGGCTCAGTGACTGACCTAGACCTCAGACAAAGGCTTTTTCCATGCCCTGTCACAGTCCAGGAAGAAGATAAGATAATAGTTTTCAAGGCACAAAGTTTCTAGACAAAGAATCTCCTGATGCTAGTACCCACTCCAAAATTAGGAAAGTGATTGGACCCTCCAGCATGCGCCCTTCCCTACCAGGAGGGGAATGTCCCACCTAGAACAAGCATGGACAGATCTCTTCCTGATCCAAATAAAAACCCCTCACCACAGTTCTTCTTTGACAACCCATTTTGCAGGACCCCTCTCTTCTTGGGAACCCTGTTTTTACTTCCCTCTCCTTTAGTAAACTCCCCACTTTGTTCATAAACTTCCCGCTTTGCTATACCTACTCTCTGTGTTCATGACTCTAATTCTTCCTGAGTGTGGGGCAAGAACCCGCGTCTCACTGCGAGTGTGGGCCTGATCACCCCTTCACCCCCAGGTTCCTGTGTCACTATGGAAACAACCTGGGTTGTTCTGGTTTCGGGTGATAATGCTGCTCTGAATATCTGCATTCATGAACATACATGACATTTAGTTTTCCTGTGTCCTCTGTATTCTCCTCCTACCTCCACCCCAAATTTGGCAGTTTCTAGGCCTTTCCTTGTCTTCATGTTTTCAGCATTTTTTTTTTTCTTTTTAGGAATTATTTATTTTGGGACCAGCAGATGGCATAACGGTTGCATTGCTGGACTCCTACATAGCTGACTGTGGTTTGAATCCGGGACCCAGCAGCTTAAAACTCACATCAGATGTGTATGTGTGCATGTGCATGCATGCCCAAGATCCCAGGAGGAGAACAGAGAAGAGATTGCAGAATGGCCATCCCTCCTCTCAGGGGTGATTTCTTGTTTTCTTTCTCTCTGTTGAGCGTAGCAGAAGTCTCTCAAAAAAAAAAAAAAAAAAAAATCTCTTTTTGAGCGTAGCAAAAGTCCCTAAAAAAAAAAAAAAAAAAAAAAAAAGATGGGGCCAGCAGGTGGCATTGTGGTTAAGGAAAATATGGTCTAGTCCAATTCCTGGAATGGTGTAGAGTGCAACCGAATGAATGACCAAGACCAGATTAAGGTTAAAGGGAGTTGTTATTAGCTGGCCACAGACCACAGCCTGAGGCTCGGGGGCTGAGAGTCAGAACTGCAGCCCCAAAGTTTGAGCAGTCATTTTATAGGGGGTCAGTTACCAGGGGTTTCCATGCAAGCAGTTACAGAAGCTGAATCAAGCAGGTTAATTATTTATGAGAGCTCTCTAGACCTTTGTTTAATGGTCTCTGTGGCTTCGGGCAAGGGTCTGGTGATTGGTAGTTACATTGCTAAGGAACAGCTAAACAAAAGGGTTTCAGGCTAGTTAGCAAAGATAGTAGCAGGTACAGGATGTGTCCCGGATATGGTTTTCTATATGGCTAGCACAAGCTATTTTCTCATGGCAAGAGCAAGCAGGTTTACAGAAGCAGACAGCCATGTAAGGGTAAGGGAACAAAATGGACCAACAGTTGCTCATGTGGAAGATCTAATATGCGGCCTTTCACAGGACCTGGCAGCTTGCTTCCTCACTTTCTCTCTCTCTCTCTCTCTCTTTTTCCCTCTCTGGTCAAATTAAAATTAATTAATTAATTAAGTTAAATAAAATAATTCTTTAAAAAAGAATAATTTATTTTATTTTATTTATTTATTTTTTTAAATTTGCTATAGGGCACATGTGCTCATGGTGGGGGGGTGAGAAAGCAAGTTGCCAAGTCTGGAACTTGAACCCGATCAGCCATGTGGAAGTCCAACACCTTAACCACCATGCCACCTGCTGGTCCCATCTGCAGTTTTAAATAGCACAGACTACATTTTCACCTGAGTCTGTTTGTTGTTCTTTGAATCAGATATGGGTCTTGTTGCTCAGCAGGCAAACCCTCTGGAAATGGTGCTGTACCATTCTTAGAGGCACAGTCTGGCGTCTGCCAAATGTTTTTATCATAACATCACCAGCTTTCCCTTGTGATTCGGTAGGATTTGTAAGGGAAGATATTCCAGGATTGCATTCTACTCACCAATCTTAGTTTCTATTGAAAACCGCCTCAATCAACCCCCAGTTGGGTGGTGCCAACTGAAGAGTTTCTATTTCCATGATCTCTTCTACAGCTAATGCTGGCATTCAACTGCAAGGAAGAGCTTTATCTTTTCATCTATCATCGGTATGACTCGTGCATTCCAATTTTTCCTACAGTTTGTAATTCATTATCCTTATTTGCTTGATACTCAAGACATCCCAGATTTGGCCAGTGGGAGCATTGCCAGGCTGGCTTCTGTGTTCATTTTGACTGACTTCCTTCATTCTTTGCCTTCCTTTTTGGCAAACAGTATATCTCTATCTGATCTTGCGCTTTTCCTGCCCCAGCCTTGAACTCAGCTGTTTCTCCAAGGAATCCTGGTTCCTAATCATGGAAGGTGGTATTTATTGTAGGATACCGATCTGGACACTTGGTATTCTCCTTGCTCTAATGTGTCACTGCTTCTAACTTCTCTCAATGGACAGATTTAGAAAACAAACAAACAGCAACAACCACAGACACCATCACACACCATATAGGTATATTTAAAACTGAGTCTTCCACCTCAGTAGCCATTGTAGACCTGTAGCCATGGCTCTATGGTACCCCATGGCCATGGGCCTCAACAAGGGCCACAAAGTCACCAGAACATGAGCAAGCGAAGGCACGACCGCTGCCCCAGGCACCTCACCAAGCTTGCTAAGTTCGTGCACGACATGATCCGAGAGGTGTGTGGCTTCACCCCCTACGAGTTGCGTCATGAGCTGCTCAAGGTGTCCAAGGACAAGCAGGCCCTCAAGTTCATCAAGAAGTGGATGGAGACCCACATCCATGCCAAGAGGAAGCGAGAGACAGACAGAGAGAGGAAGAGAAAGTAAAAAATCACCCCCTCCACACACACACACACACACACACCCACACACACACACACACAAGGAGTATGACCACACTGCAATTCCTTCTCCTGCATTACCCTCTTGGGATTTGGGGCATGCATGCATACACACCCAGCATATTTTTCTAGGACAACAATAATGCATTCAGTCATGTGAGATCCAGCTGCTTTAACCACCATGCTACTGCCTAGCCCCAGGAAATCTAAACTAGCCCATGCATATTGTTACCTATAGGCACTATGCAGTATATTAGATTTCCTGAACTTAGACTGCATAATAGTAACTTAGTACCCTTTGACCAAAAATTCCCCATTCCCTCTCCCTCTAGTCCCTGGCAACCATCTTTCTACTCTGTTTCCATAATTTTTCTTTTTTTTGAGAGGTTTTTGCTATAGGGCCTGTGTGCTCACCAGAAAGAGAGAGGCAGAGAGATGGAAATTGAGAAATAACCCCCCAGGAGGGATGGCCACGCCGCAATCCCTTCTCCTCCATTCTCCTCTCGGGATCTTGGGCACGCACGCACACGCGCCCAGCATGAATTTAAGCCACCAGGTCCAGGACTAGAACCGCGGTCGACTACATGGGAGTCCAGCGACATAGCCATTACGCTAACTGTTGGTCCCTCTATAATTTTTCTTTAATTGCCAGAGGGTGTGTATACTCACTACAAACAGAGACAGAAAAAGAGAGGGAGAAAGCACCTCCAGTCAGGCGTGGTCACAATGCAATCATTTCTCCGTTTTTCCATCCTGTCAGGATTTGAGACACACATGTGCATTCAAGTGATGTATTTTTCAAGCCCTGTGGCCAGGATTTGAAATGTGCGTGCCCAAGATCCCGAGAGGAGAATGGAGGAGAAGGGATTGCGGCGTGGCCATCCCCCCTGGGGGGTGATTTCCGGCTTTCTGTCTCTCTGTCTCTGTCTGGCGAGCGCACGCACCCTACAGCAAAAACCTCTCCAAAAAAAATAATATATTTATTTGATTTATTCATTCATTTATTTTAATTTGGCCAGAGAAAGACACAGAGAAAGAGAGAGAGGGAAAGTGAGAAAGGAAGCCACCAGAAAGGATGGCCATGCCGCAATCTCCTCTCCATCTTCTCTCAAGATTTTGAGCACACACATATATGCGTCCAGCATGAGTTTTAAGGACCTAAGGTCGACTACATGGGAGTCCAGTGACATAAACATTATGCCATCTGCTGATCCCAGCATGGGGTAGTTCTGTCAACTCACTTAAAGATCTGAGAAATGGTGGGCCAAAATTTACTGCCCCTGCTGAGATGGTGCTGTGATTGCTTGGAGTTTCTAGTTCTGAAGGTTTTCTAGAATCATCTTTTTCTTAAATTGTTCCCTTCTACTGTTGGTAGTCTTTTGCTATTAAAAAATACGTATTATTGGGACCAGCAGTTGGCATAATGGCTATGTTGCTGGACTCCCATGTAGCCGACTGAGGTTTAAGACCCAGATCCGGTGGCTTAAACTCACGCCATGCACCTGTGCGTACATGCCCAAGATCCATACCCCCTGGGAGGTGATTTCTCGCATTCTGTTTATCTATCTCTGTCTCTCTGGAGCGCACAAGCTCTATAGCCAAAAAAAAAAAAAAAAAAAAAAACCCTCTCAAAAAAATATGTATTTTACGTACTCAATGTGTAGGTCAGACGGAGTGATTATGTGACATGGCTTCTTCACAGAGGCTGCTGATTGTCCTTTGATATTCTTCATTTAAATAATATAACTCCTCAGTTCTAGGTAGGCTCATGTTTCATCCAACTAAAAGCCACATTTCCTAGCTTCTCTTGCAACTGGGTGTGGCCAAGTGTCTGAATTCCGACCAATGGGATGTGAGCAAAAGTGATTATGCCATTTCCAGGTCATGCCCTTAAAAGGAATAAATGTGTACTCCCCTTTCCTTTCTTGCTTCTCACTGGTCACTGCTTGCTTCTCACAAACATGATGGCAGGAGCTGAAGCAGCCACCTTGGAACCTAGAGATAGAAACCACAGGATGAGATTGGCAAAGATATTGAATCAGCTCTGGACTCCCTACTTTGAACATCTATGTAAGAGAAAAACGAAATTCTGTTTTGTGTAAGCCACTGTATTTTGGGGTCTTTGACAACCAATACTGTAAATAATATAGCTTCACGCCACTACCTTTACCCAGAAACCTGTACTCTTTATCTGTATATTGTGTATGCTTTTTTTTTTTTTGGTCCTTCTTGTTGTTTTGCCATATGGCATGTGCACTCACCAGAGAGACACAGAGAGAGGAAAGAAATCACCCCCTGAGGAGATGGTCCCTCTGCACTTCTTTCTTCATTCTCCTCTCAGGATTTGGCATGCACGGACTCGTGCCCAGTGTGATATTTAAGCCAGTGGGTCCAGGACTCAAAACCATGGTTGGCCATGTGGGAGTTCAACACCTTAACCACCATGCCACCTGCTGGCTTCTGTTATGTATTTTTTTAATTTCAAATTTAAAAAAAATAATTAATTAATTATTTCTATTTGTTATTACTATTTTAAAAATTTCACCAGACAGAGACAGAGAGCAAGAAAGGGAGAGTGAGAAAGCAAGCCACCACTTGATGACCCCTTCAAACTATGTTTTATGTTCATATATTTTTTTTTTGGAGAGGTTTTTGCTATAGGGCACATGCTCTCGCCAGAGAGACAGAGAGAGACAGAGAGACAGAAAGTGAGAAATCACCCCCCAGGGGGAATGGCCACACCACAATCCCTTCTCCTCCATTCTCCTCTCGGGATCTCGGGCACATGCACACACATGCACCTGGCGTGAGTTTTAAGCCACTGAGTCTGGGACATGAACCGCGGTCAACTACATGGGAGTCAGTGACATAGCCATTACGCCAACTGCTGGTCCCTTATGTTCATATTTTTAAAAACTGGATTTTCAGCTTGAGTGATTTTGACTTTTTTTTCATTTTTTTATGGATTTTTTTTTTTAGTATGTTTAGTGTTTTAAGATTATTTTGGCAGGGGCTGGCGGCTGGCAGGTGACGTGATGGTTAAGGGCACTGGACTCCCATACGGCCAACTGTGGTTCGAGTCCTGGACTTGGCGGCTTGCCTTTCTCTCTCTCTCTCACTCTGTCCCTCTGGTCAAATTAAAATAAATAAATAAAGTTAAATTAAATAATTATTTAAAAAAAGATTATTTTGGCTACCTTTACACTTGAGTGACTACTTAGTCATTTTTAGAATTATGGAGTCACATCCTTTTCTCCTCAACATTCTTTCTTCATTGTTCCATTGTTCATGCTCTTTAAAATTACTGAAAATAAGCCAACACCAGTCTATTTTATTCACCATGAGAGATTGCTGGCTTCTCCTATTCAGATGTCTGCTGGCTTCACACAAGCTGATACAACTACATAAAACTCTTATCTACTCTCCAGACCTAAATCACTGCCCAAGGGGGATGGACATGCACAATTCCTTCTCCTCTATTTTTCCCTCAGGATTTTGGGTACACACACACATGCCTGATGTGATTTTCTTTCTTTTAAGATTTTTTCCCATAGAGTGCATGTGCTCACCCTAGAGAGACAGAGATAGTAAGAGGGAAAGTGAAAAATCACCCCCCAGTGAGATGGCCTCCCCTCAATTCCTTCTCCTCCATTCTCCTCCTGGGATTTTTAGGAAGCCATGTACACGCACCTGGCATGATTTTCACGTTGCCAGGTCTGGGACACAAACCACAGTCAGCCATGTGGGAGTTCAACCCTTTAACCAACACACCACCTTCTGACCCTGCCAGATTTGTGTTTAACTTGGGTTTTGTCTTCTCTTTATCTATTTATTTGTTTTAATTGCCAGAGGACACGTGCATTTGCCAGAGAGAGAGAGGAAAAGGGAGAAAGCACCTCCCAGTGGGGCGTGGTCACTTCATGATTCCCTCTCCTCCATTTCTCCATCCTGCCAGGATTTGGGGCACGCATCACACAGGCCCTTGGCATATGTTTCCAGCCACCAGGGCTGCACATTCAGTCAGGTGAGATCTGACTCCCTTAACCGCCAGGGCACAGGGCTGGCCTCGCTTTACTTGTTCAAAGTTATATATTCAGATTGACCAGAATTTGAATTCTAGGCCTTCCCCTATGGTTCTAGTATCTTGCAGTAGTTCCCTACTTCTGGCACCACCAGACTGGCCTGCACTTTCTAACGTTCTACAAAGCATGTGTATTGCCTCAGTAGTAACAAGTGTTTTAGATAGTGATATGCATTTAAAATGGGCCAGCTTTACCACTAATGTGACTAAGCTTATGTTCAAGGTCCCTCAGTCACAAGGGCCTTCTTTTTTCTTTTTTTTTTTTCTTTCTTTTGGAAAGACAGAGCGAGACAGAGAGACAGAAAACAAGAAATCACCCCCCAGGGGAGATGGCCACACCATAATCCCTTCTCCATTCTTCTCTCAGAATCTTGGGCACACAGGCACACACGCCTGGCATGAGTTTAAGCCACCAGGTCCTGGACTTGAACCGCAGTCGACTACACGGGAGTCCAGCGACATAGCCATTACACTAACAGCTGGTCCTGACAAGGGCCTTCTTACCAATGCTGTGTCATACTTTTTTTTTTTTGGAGAGCTTTTTGCTATAGAGCACATGCGCTTTCCAGAGAGACAGAGATACTGAGAGACAGAAAACGAGAAATCACCCCCTGAGGTGAGATGGCCATACCACAATCCCTTCTCTTCCATTCTCCTCTTGGAAACTGGGACACACACGCACATGCCCGGCATGAGTTTAAGTCACTGGGTCCAGGACTCGACTACATGGGAGTCTAGCGACACAGCTATTACACCAACTGCTGATACCAATCATACATTTTTCCTTTTTTTTTTTTTTTTTTTTGGGAGGGTTTGTTTTTTTTTTTTTTTTTTTTTTTTTTTTTTTGGCTATAGGACACATGTACTCACCAGAAAGACAGAGAGAGACGGGGAGACAGAAAGCAAGAAATTACCTCCCTGGGGTGGGGGGGATAGCCATGCTTCAATCTCTTCCCCTCCATTCTTCTCTTGAGATCTTGGGCATGCACGTACATGCACCCGGTGTAAGTTTAAGCCATCGGGTCCAGGACTTGAACTGCGGTAGACTACATGGGAGTCCAGCGACATAGCCATTACACTAACCCAGTCATACTTTTATTAAAAAGAATTATTTAATTTGGGGGCCAGCAGATGGTGGAGCCATTACATTGCTGGACTCCTACAAGGCTGACTGTGGTTTGGGTCCCGGGCCCAATGGCTTGAAACTGACGCCGGGATCATGTACATGCGTGCTCAAAATCCCGGGAGGAGAATAAAGAAGGGATTGCAAGGTGCCATCCCCTCTGGAGGGTGATTTCTCACTTTCTCTCTCACTGTCTCTGTCCTGTTGAGTGCACACACCCTAAGACAAAAACCTTTACAAAAAAATTGGGTCGGCAGGTGGTGTGGTGGCTAAAGGCACTGGAGTACCACATGGCTGACCATAGTTTGAGTCCTGGACCTGGCAGCTTGCTTTCTCACTTTCTCTCTCTCTCTCTCTCTGACCCTCTCTAATCAAATTAAAATGAATAAATAAATAAATAAAAAAAATTAAATTTAAAAAATAGTCCTTTTTTTTGGGGGGGGGAGAGGTTTTTGCTATAGGGTGCGTGTGCTCGCCAGACAGACAGAGAGAGGCAGAGAGACAGAAAGAGAGAAATCACCCCCTAGGGGGGATGGCCACACCACGATCCCTTCTCCTCCATTCTCCTCTCGGGATCTTGGGCACGCACGCACACGCACCTGGCATGAGTTTAAGCCACCAGGTTCAGGACTCGGAACGCGTTTGACTACATGGGAGTCCAGTGACATAGCCATTATGCCAATTGTTGGTCCCATAATCTTTATTCTTGAAGACCTTGTGCCTCACTACCAACCATGCATTCTATTACTGAAGAAATGAGGATAAGGGATACTGGGATAAAACAACTGTCTTATGGTTTTTATTAAGATCCAATGCGCTAGTTTTTGAGGTTTCGTAGGGGCAGAGAATATGCAAACATCTCAAAGCACTACAATAGATTGGGTGCTAAGGCCTTTCACTGAGTGTTGATGGACACTACAGAAGAGAGTTAACAGACCCGTATGGAATAGAGAAAGTCACCTTTTCAATCAAATTTCGGACATTTCAGTGGCCAAATACATCTGAGCCATATGTCTAAACCAAAAAACTCTAATGTTGTGGTTAACTAACTTTGAGAAGCCACGTATCAGCTTATTAATCACCATCACTTTTGTGCTGTGTATTCCGTTTCCAGGGAACTGTGAACCTCAGGATGTGGTCTCTGACTCCATTCTTAGAGAAGGTTACCATGGAGGATATTTTTCCTGTGTAGTAAACAGAAGAAAATGAATATGAATTTGGGAGCAGCTCTACTAGCTAGGGAGCCATAGCCGGTGCTTGAGCAGTGGTGTTATCTGAGACACCCGGTGAGAGAGGGCTGATGGAATGAGATAAAGAAAGCATCATGACCCTTCACTCTCTCCCTGTCTTTATAGTGAAATACAAAAATAGGGGCCAGCAGGTGGCGTGGTGGTTAAGGCACTGACTCCCACATAGCCAATCACACTTTGAGCCCCAAACCCAGTGGTTTGCTTCCTCATCTTCCCTCTCTCACTTGCTCTCTCTCTCTGGTCAAATTAAACTAATAATAAATAAAATTAAATAAATTATTCTTTAAAAAAAACTAAAAGAAATGCAAAAATAAACCTTCATGCGTGCACTTTGTGTATGGTGCTTTTCAAGCTTTTCTACACATACCATGTTTGACCTTCTTTTTTTTTGGAAAGGTTTTCACTATAGGGTGCGAGCGCTCGACAGACAGAGAGAGACATAGAGACAGAAAGTGAGAAATCACCCCCCAGGGGGGATGGTCACGCCGCAATCCCCTCTCCTCCATTCTCCTCTCGGGATCTTGGGCACGCACGCACACGCACCCGGCATGAGTTCTAAGCCACCGGGTCCAGGACGCGAACCGCAGTCGACTACGTGGGAGTCCAGCGACATAGCCATTATGCTAACTGCTGGTTCCCACCATGTTTGACCTTGATGATTAATATATTATTTAATAAATTCTGAGATCTTGTTCAAATCAGAATACAATTTCTCTCTGAAATGGCCTTGAATAGTGGTCAATCTGCTGAGGTGTCTCTGCTCTGATCTGGCTGCCCCACAAATTTCTGCTCTTTCTTCCTCCAGCTCAGAGTGAAGGTAACTGTGACTCTCTGAGAAGGGAGCAGCTTACTGATCCAGCAGAGGGGGTCGTGGGGATTCTATTCCGCCCAGCCAGCACCCTCATAAAGCTAGCCTCTGAGAGAAACTAATTGTGGTACCAGCAGTTGGCATAATGGCTATGTCACTGGACTCTCATGTAGTTGACCATGGTTTGAGTCCCAGAACCAGTGCCTTAAACTCACGCTGGGCATGTATGTGTGCCTGCCCAAGATCCTTGAGAGGAGAATGGAGGAGAAGGGATTGCAGCGTGGCCATCCCCCCTGGGGGTGATTTCTTGCTTTCTGTCTCTCTGTCTTTCTCTGTCTTTCTGGTGAGCGAAAACCTCTCCAAAAAAAAAAAAAGAACGAAACTAATTGCTTTTTCTGCTCCTTCAATTTGACCTCCTAAAAGAAAGAAAGAAATCCTGCAGAAGTAACTAGTCAGCCATAGCGGAGCACAGAACAGGCACCAACAGCCCTGCAACTTCTCCCATAGCCAAAAATCTACTGCAAATAAACTGGGTGGGGTGGGGGGCATCCAGGAGGGGGACCCACATCATGCAAAGCTCAGTAAGGCTGGGCTTTAAATAGACAAACAGCTCTGGAGTTGTTTGGGTAGGGTGCTTTACACGGAATAGTGGGTCAGCAGGTGGGGTGGTGGTAAAGGTGCTGGACTCGCACATGGCTAACCTTGGTTCGAGTTCTGGACCTGACAGTTTGCTTTCTCACTTTTCCTCCCTGGTTCTTTCTGGTGAGTGCACAGTTCTTGTAGCAAATTAAAAAAAATAAATAACGATGATAAATTAAGTAATTCTTTAAAAGAAAAAGAGTAAGGGCGAGTTGGCTCATCCATGAGGGTACAGTGGTAACACAGTACTCTGCAGTGCTGGAGGCCATATTGAAGACCGGGGTTTGCTACTTCCAGTTGAACTGTACATGTCGGGTGTGTGATGTTGGCTGGCTGGCGGGCTAGGCTGAGGGGTAGATCGTGGTATGAGACCATGATGAGGGGCTTCTCTCTCTCTCTTTCAGAAAATAGTAAGGGAGGGTTGAAAGGCATGTAGGCAGGAGCAGCAGGTGGCATGGTGGTTAATACACTGGATCCCACATGACTAACTAATTCGAGTCCCAGACCTGGCTACTTGAAAAACATACCTGATGCATGTGCCAGTGTGCCCAAATCCCAAGAGGAGAAGGGACTGCTTGTGACCATCACCCTGGAGGAGATTTCTCACTTATATAGTGTTAAATAGGAAATTATATGTATATACAGTATATATAAAGGTGGTGGACTCCCACATGGCCAGCCTTGGTTCGAGTTCCAGGCCCGGCAGTTTGCTTTCTCACATTTCCTCTCCGTTTCTCTCTGGTGAGTGCACAGTTCCAGTAGCAAAGGGAACAAAGAAGGCTTTTTCCTCTTGGCAACAGAAAGAGCTTCCTAACAGCTCCTGCTTCCTTCCTTTCTCCCTCACTTACTACTTTGTCAGCAAGTTCCAGAACTATGTCCTGAGGTCTCAAGAAGAGCTGGGGAATGTCAGGGTATAAAGAAATAATAAAAGCACTCTGGAGGAGGAGGGGCAGGGAGGCTCCTCTGCAGCTCCTTTCCTGTAGGGCTACCTGCTTTTCCATGACGTCATCCATTCATCATTGTGAGCTGATTGGCAGTCCCAGGGCTTGGTCAGCTGCCCACGGCCAGGAGGGGAGAGAGAGATCCCAGGACAAAAGTGCAACAGGCCCCTGAGCATGTGCAGAAATGTCATCAGTTCCACACAGAAAGCCTAAGTGGAAATCGAAGAAGACAGTAAACGTCACAAGATCCTATCCAACCTTCCCTACCCTGAATGCCTGGGAAGAATTCAGGGGCCTCTTTCCTGTGGATGGGGAACCAAACCCGGGAGTGGGCCTGGGTGTGGAGGAGGGACTGCTCTGCCAGATGATTCATTCTCCAGAATTCAACTTGTTTCCTGACTCCGTGGTGTTTGAAAGCAACTTTGTCCAGGTACTCTCCGGTGGCTCAGAGTTTATCTCTTTGATTCTCTCAAACCTGCCCCCAAGGTGTGACTAGGAGAGTTGACCCCTGGAACTAAAGTGGTATGAATGAAGGCAAGGAAAATCTAGTAGCCCTGGGCTGCAAGGCCATTCCCATTAACTCAGGATTTGCAGAGCCCCAGAAGGGCTTCTCCTGCAGACAGCTGTCACCTGGGCAGAGGCCGGGTATTCTCTGCTCTGAGCAGAGGACGTGGAGTTTGAATCCCCAGGTTACTTCACCCTCTAGATAGTCACCAGCAGCAGATGAACAAAGAGAAACTGAGATGAAATGAGCTTTGGGAACGAGGAGCAGAAAAACCGATTGGTGAAAAAACAGTAGAGAGCCTAGAGGAACCTGAGCTCAGATTGCAGTCCACTGCTTTCTCGCTGAGCGGTGTCACTGTGCAAGTAAAAAAGAGTTGGACTGACCAGAGGATTAGATGCAAATTCAGCAAGAAAAGCACCTAGTCTAACGGGTGCTTGGTGCATTTTAGTTTCCCCCCTTGGGTTGTCCTCAGGCTGGATAGAACCTAGAATAAACACAATGTTGGAGCTGGAAAGAACTTTCCCATTTAGTGAAGGTGCAGGAGATAATAGGACCCCTCAGAGAAGGGCCCAGGGGACACGCTTTTGAAACAAAGTTCAGGAAACAGTCCAGGCAGATTCACAGAAACATGATAGATCCAAGAGAATGTATGGGTTACGGTTCTGTGGGCAATTGTTAACAGCAGATCATTTAAATACTATTACACTTGCAATGATTCCCCCCTTTCCACTGCCAGGGGACACCTGGCAATGTCTGGAGATATTTTTGCTTGTCACAACTTGGGGGAGGAACGGTGTTACTGGCATCTAGTTGGTAGAGGCCAAAGATGCTGCTAAACATTCTGCAGTGCACAGGACAACTCACCCCCAGATACACCAACAAAGAAGTGTCCAGCCCCAATGGGTAAGGGTGCCAAGGTGGAGACAGCCTGGGCTAAAACCTACTGCTGCTTTGGCCAAATACTCAGGCTGTGCCTGGGGGCTGCATTGCAGGTCAAAAGGGGCAGGAACTGGATCGACATCTGCAAAGCCTCCAACACCATGGCCCTTGGGGTGACCTCCTCCGTGCCCTGCCTGCCTCTTCCCAACGTCCTCCTCATGGCCAGTGTCAAATGGTCCCAGGGGCAGAGCCAGACATGGAACAGACCATCCACAGCCCCGGACATCATCCTGAAGAGGTAAGCAACACAGATGGGCGTGAAGGACAAGCAGGCTGGGGCTGGGCCCAAAGTGGAGGCTGCTCGATGTGCCCGACTCAAGGTGGGAAAAAGCAAAGAAGTCTTCAGGGCCCAGGATGGGTGGTGTCCTGGAAGTGCAGAGGCAAGTGGGGTGGAGGGAGGCATCGCAGGGGCCAGAACAAGGGGCCAATCCACGTGCCCACGTTCCAACCTGCTGCATTTACCCCACTGGGGTCAGAGGAAGTCTCTCATCCTTTGGCTGAGGGGCAAGAAGACAGTTAGGTCTGGCAGATGGAACACTCGGTGGGAGAGGCAGGTTCTTTCTAACCCTTGGTATGCAACTAACTAGAGTCAAATAATTTTTTGAGTCCTAAGTCACTTCACTCAGTCTTCCTGTCAGTGACATGAATGGACTAAGTCTCACTTAGAATGTAACATCATGCTTATGTGGGATGAAAGCCATTTTTTATTTATTTGTTTGAGCCCCTTCAGAGGATCGATGTCTCGAGAATCTCTAGATAGTCCCAGAAATCTAGAAAAGTCCTTTATTTCTCCATGCTGCCTTTCCATTTTGCTCTTGCTGTATCTATTGCAAAAATAGCCTATCCCCTCGCTGACTAACATTAGATTAAAGCCAAGTTTGCTCCTCTGGGAGAGGGACTGCCACACTGAGGTCAATGAACAGACAAGCCAGACAAGGGGGCCAGCTTCCTTTGTCCTATCAAGAAAGAAATTGCAAAACCCTATGACCTGGCCACCTCAGTCCTAGGCTGTGTCTGAATCACAGGGTCCAGGGAACACTAACATGAGAATAACAGCAGGGTAGTGGGTGGAAGTTAAAATGCAGATTCTAGGGCCACACGCCAGACCAGCTGAGGAGTATCTTCAGGTGTTTTAATTTTTTCTTTTTTTAAGAGAGATTTTGCTGGGAACCAGCAGTTAGCATAATGGCTATGTCGCTGGACTCCCACATAGTCCACTGCGGTTCACGTCCCGGACCCGGTGGCTTAAAACTCACGCCGGGTGCGTGTGCATGCATGCCCAAGATCCCAAGAGGAGAATGGAGGAGAAGGGATTGCGGTGTGACCATCCCCCCTGGGGGGTGATTTCTCGCTTTCTGTCTCTATGTCTCTCTCTGTCTGGCGAGCGCACCACGCGCCCTATAGCAAAAACCTCTCCAAAAAAATAAATAAATAAAAGAGAGAGAGAGATTTTGCTATAGGTCATGTGCACTTCCCAGAGAGACAGAAAGCAAGAAATCACTCCCCAGGGGGATGACCACACCACAATCCCTTCTCCTTTGTTCTCCTGTCAGGATCTTGGGCACGCATGCACACACATGCCTGACTTGCGTTTCAAGCCACTAGGTCTAGGACCGGAATCACAGTCAGCTCTGTGGGAGTCCAGCAACATAACCATTATGCCATCTGCTGGTCCCAGATGTTTGCATTTTAAATCAGTTTCCCAAGTGTATTTGATCTTCCCAACGACTGAGTACCACCATGCTAAGCAGTCTCTATTATCCCCTAAAGCTTCAGTCCTAAAAAAGACATTCCCGGCAGGTGGCATGGTGGTTAAGGGTGCTGGACTCCCACATGGCCGACCACGGTTTGAGTCCTGGACCTGGTGGCTTGCTCTCTCACTATTTCTCTTTCACTTGCTCTGTCCCTCTCTGCTCAAATTAAAGTAATAAAGTTAAAATTTTTAAAAAAAGACATTCCTCATTTTAATGAAGATAGGGTCAGATCAGAAGCAATGGGGTGTCAATATGTCTTCCCTCGTGCCTTCAGGATTCTCCCATTGAAGTTAGTGGAACTCCAGGTGTACGACCACCTTCAGCGCATTCTGCGCTTGAGAACAGTCACTGAGAAGATCTACTACCTAAGGCTCCACCCTGACCATCCTGAGACCGTCTTCCACTTCTGGATCCGATTGGTTCAAATTCTGCAGTACGGTCTGTCCATCACCACTAAAGACCCTAGGATTCTTGTCACTCACTGCCTGGTACCCAAGGACGGCTGCAGCCCCTCAGGGGACTCTCAGGTAAGTGAACATCTTTGCCAGCTTTCAGCCATGGCCAGAGCTAAGTGGTAGAACTTAGACTCGTAGGGGAGCACCCTGGGAAAGTGATCTCAACCTTAGTTCTTTTCTAGACACTTTTCCTGATGTATCATTTACAACCATAAAATTTAAACATTGCGAATATATAGTTCAACACTCCCAACAAGGGTAGAGTTGAACAACCATCACTATAATCCAGTTTTAGAACATTTCCATCACCCTAAAATATTCCCTCTTGCCTATTTGCAGTCATTCCCTTTGTCTACTCCCAGTTCTAAGCACTGATTGATCTATTTTCAGCCTCTATAGAATATTCATCTTGCTTAGACATTTTACATAAATGGAATCCTATAATACATAGTCTTGTATCTGGCTTCTTGCACTTAGCATATTGTTTTTTAGGTTCATCCATACTGCAGCATGAGGCCAGCTCGGGTAGTCACAGACTTTTAACGGTTCATTTCTTTTTATTGCTGATAGTATCCTATTATATAGATATACCACATTTTGTTTATGTAGTTAATGTCATATTTGAATTGTTTCCAGTTTGGGGCTATTATGACTAATGCCTCTGTGTAAAGATTTTTGTGTAGATGGCTGTTTTCATTTGTCTTAGGTAGAGTCCAAGGAATAAAATTACTAAGTTGCATGGTTAAGTGTGTGTTTGGCTTACAAAGAAATTGACAAATCACTTTCCCAATGGCACCATTTTACATTCCCACCAGCAAATCCATGTGCGTTTCAGTTTCTACAACTTCACCAACACTGGTATTGGCTATCTTTTTTATTATGGCTATTTCAGCAGATGTGTAGTAGTTTTGTTTTTTTTAATTGTAATTCATATTTTATTTCAACCATTTGGTCCATCTAGATCAAAGAGCTCTTGATTTTAGAATAGGAAGCTGTGTCCTTAACCAAATACTATCTCGGCACATCTAGGAACATTTGTTTAATCTAAGGAAGGCAGCACTACCCAGGATTGTTTTAGCTTTTGCAATTTGCCAGAGAGTGTGTGTGCTCACTGGAGAGACAGAAAGAGGAAAAGAGAGAAAGTGAGAAACACCCCTCATGGGGGATGGTTATGCCTCAATCACTTCTCCTCATCTCTCCTTTTATTTATTTATTGATTTTTTTGGCATTTTGGGTGTGCACATGCTCACACATGCACCTGTTGTGCTTCCCAAACCACCGGGTTCAGGACTGAACTGTGCAGTTGGCCCCGTGGGATCCGGTACCCTTAACCATCTTACCACCAGCTGACCCTGTGTAATAGTTTTCATTTGGATTCCCCTGATGCTTAACGATGTGGAGCAACTTTTCATGGGTTTATTAGTTGTTTGTATATTCTTATCTTCTTTAATGATATGTCTATTCCAATTTTTTTTATAAGAGGTTTTTGCTATAGGGTGTGTGTGCTCGCCAGAAAGACAGAGAGAGACAGAAAGACAGAATGTGAGAAATCACCCCTGCAAGGGGATGGCCACGCTGCAATCCCTTCTCCTCCACTCTCCTCTCAGGATTTTGGGCATGCATGCCCCTGGTCTGAGTTAAACTGCCAGGGCTGGAACTCAAACTGCTGTCGACTACGTGGCAGTCCAGTGACTATTCCAGTCTTTTGCCCATTCTTAAATTGAATTTTTGTCTTCTTATTGCATTGTAAGAATTATTTGTATATTCTGAATATTTGTATTTTATCATATATGATTTGCAAGTATTTTCTCACAGTCTTTGAATTGTCTTTTTATTTTCTTAATGTTGTTTGAGGAGTGAAAGCCTTTAATTTTGTGAAGTGCAATTTACCAACATTTTCTTTCATGGATCAGATATTTGGCACCATATCTAAGAATCCTGTTCAACCCAGAGTCACAAAGATTTTACTTATTTTGTTTTCTTCTAAAAGTTGTATAAATTTAGCTCTTGTATTTAGATCTGTGATCCATTTTGAGTTAATAATTGCACACAGGCTAAAGTAAAGGCCTAAGTACCTTTTGTTTTGTTTTTGTGTTTGTGTTTTTTGGGGTTTTTTTTTTGGAGAGGTTTTTATTTTTTGGTTTTTGTTTTGTTATAGGGCGCATGCACTCACCAGAAAGAGAGAGAGACAGAAAGTGAGAAATCACCCCCCAGAGGGATGGCCAAGCCGCAATTCCTTCTCCTCCATTTTCCTCTCGGGATCTTGGGCACACACACACACATGCCCAGTGTGAGTTTAAGCCACCAGGTCCGGGACTCGAATCACAGTAGGCTACATGGGAGTCCAGCAACATAGCCATTACGCCAACTGCTGGTCCCTTTGTGTTTGTGTTTTGGCATGTGGATACACAACTGTCCCAGTACCATTTGTTATTTTTTGAATTGTCCTGGTGCTTTCATCAAAAATCACTTGACCAGGGCAGGCTTATGCCACTCAAGTAAAGTCAGATCCATATGGGAGATGGTGGGTTTGGCTCCTCAGTTGACCTGTACATGCTGGGCCTGTGTGACCCTGGTTGCCTGGGAAGGCTGGGAGGTGGCCAAAGCATGCGACCTTATCAAGGTTGTTTGTCCCTTCCCCCCTTCTCCATCTCTCTCATGAAAGAAATAAACAAAGAAGGGCCCATAGGTGGTGATGTGGTTAAGGCACTGGATTGCACATGGCTAACTCTGAGGTTCAAGTCCCAGATCTGTCAGCTTGAAAAACACATGGGCTGCGTGTATGTGCGTCCCCAAGATCCAAAAGGAGAATGGAGGAAAAGGGGTTGTGGCATGGCCATCTTCCCTAGGGAGTGATTTCTCACTTTCCCTCTCTCTCTGGCAAGCATATGCATCCTATGGCAAAAATCTAAAAAGAAAACAAAAACAAACAACAAATGAAACATAGAAATTAAGAAAAAACACAATTGACCAAAATTAGCTATAACTAATGCAGATACCCTAAGTCCTTAACCACTGATTTTGCTCTTTTTTCTTCCTATAGTTATTACAGAAGAAACCCCAAGCCTCCCAGCCCAGTGAGAGCCTCATGCAGCTGATGGCCAAGGGGGAGAGTGAGGCCCTGTCTCAGATTTTTGCCGACTTGCACCAGCAGAACCAGTTCAGGTACATGACTTAAATCAGGCTGGCTTCTGATGTTCCTTCCTGCAGCCCAGATGGTCTCAGCTATGAGATCTGGAACCCAAGTAACTTCGTTAATAAGCGCTGGAAGGGGGCATAAAATCCTGCACTCAGTATCCACCTCTTAGCCTTGACTTGGGGCGACTTTCTCCATTCTCTTTGACTCATTCTCTTTCTCCACGCAGCAAGCATAGTAGGCTTATCTCCAGAAAAGGAATTTTGTAAAAAATAAAAAGTAACTCTAATAACGAGAATAAGCTAAGAGGGAAAAGTAAAACGTGATTTAGAATCCAGTTCCTAACCCTAACCCTACCAAGACGTAACCACAACATTGTTTATAACATTATCTGTAATGTTCATTGATCCACTTACCTGGCCTCTGCTTGGCTTTTATGGAGCTGCTATGGTTGTTCCTAAAATGTATAGTCAGTTCTGGAAAGCTCCATGGCAAAGACTTATCTTCTTCGGGCCTGAGAAAGGACCCCCGCGTGTGCAGACGACTTAGCACGGAGTCAAGAATATTTGACATAAGAGAGACAGGAGTTGTGGACACTAGACCAGAAGCACCACAACCAGAGAGCAAAGATAAAGAGGGATCCAGGGTCTTAATGCGTGTTACTTGTGGTTTCAAAGAAAAGGGGTGAGCTGCCCTCACCCCTTGAGCTTGCAGTTCAAGCCCCAGTCTTGGCAGCAGCTTGAGAAACATGCCAGGCACATGTGGGTGCATTCCTAAGATCCCAACAGGGCACAGAAGAGATTGCAGCATGACCATTCTCCTTGGTAGATGCTTTCTATCTGTCTGTCTCTCTCTGTGTCTCTTTGGTAAGTGCACACGCTCTCTAGAAAAAAAAAAAAGGAAAACAAAAAATTAATCAGCATCACAAGGAGAGAAAAAAAACAGATGTTAGAGAGAAGGAGATTTTTGTTACAACAGGAACCAATGAGACCAGCAGCTTAGAAACTGCAAATGGCCTTTCTGAGTGCTGATAGTAAACTGAAACCTGGCAGAGCTCAGAGGAGGCAATTTTCTACAGTGGTTAGGAGCTCCCAGAGACCTGGTCTAAGTCACTGCTATAGGGCTCATGTGCTCACTGGAGAGACAGAGAAAGACAGACACAGAAAGCAAGAAATCACCCCCAAGAGAGGATGAGCACACCACAGTTCCTTCTCCTCCATTCTCTTCTCAGGATTTTGGGCATGCACACACATGTACCTCATGTGAGTTTCAAGCCTCCAGGTCCAGTACTTGAACCACAATCAGCCATGTGAGAATCCAGCAACATACCCATTACACTATCTGCTGGCCCCAAATTACTGGTTTTTGTTTATTTTTGTTTTGCTATAGGACATGTGCACTTGCCAGAGATAGGTAGGGTTGGGAGGAGTGAAAAATCACCCCCTCAAAAGAGATGGTCATACTGCAATCTCTTCTCCTCCATTCTCCTCTCAAATTTTGGACACACACACATATACACATGACCTGGTGTGCTTTTCAAGCTATTGGGTACACGACTCAACCTGCACAGTCAGCCACGTAGGATCTAACTGCCTTAACCTCCCCACCACCTGCTGGTCCCTGATTTTTAAATGACTATTTAAAGGTCAGCCTCTGCTTATAAATCTCATTGGCCCCCAACTCAGTCACATGGCCACACTCGGCTGCAAGAGAAGCTGGGAAATTAATTCTCCATTCTGCATAGCCATGTACCCAACACAGAATCAGATGCCCTACCCCTGAGGGAGAAGGGAAGAAGGGTAACTGAGGCCTACTGACAATATTTGGTTAGAGAAAACTAAGACCTGAAAGAAAACTAGGCAGTATCCAGGTAAAGGGTAGAATAAAAAGGCAGATTAAGAGAACAAGTGAGTGCAAGGCTGAGGCTTCGCCCAGAGGAAGATGCTTGGTGAGTTCAGAGAAAGGAGAAAGGAAGGAGGCGGCTGGGAAGAGCCATGGAGAGGTGGAACAGAATAAGCAAAGCGGGGGCTAAGGCCAAGTCAGGCAGAGCCTCGGAAGCTCTGTGAAGGAATCTAGACTTCAAATGCAGTGGGAACGTCCACCGCATTTTAAACAGGGAAGTGACGTGATCCAATTTACATTTTGAAAAGGTCATGCTAGCTGTTGCCTTGGCAGTTGAATTGAAGGGCGGGAGAAGAGACGTAGAGAGACCAGCTAGGAAACTATGGCAACGTCATCTGGGCTGTCATGCACAAAATGACAAAAAGAGGGATGCAAGAAAGGAGAGGGAGAGGGAGTGATTTTTGCTTTATTGTGATCTCAATAATTGTTTCGTACAGACATTCAACTCCTTCTCTTTAGTTTCCCAGAACAAAGCCCTGAGTGATGAGTTTGCTCTTCAGTTAGGCAGCTTCTAGCGTGGTTGCAATTATGATCAGTTTCTGCACATTGACAACAACATAAAACTTAATGGCAAATAAAATAAATGGCTGAACCACAAGACCAGACAGATGGAGTCACACTCCTCCTCCTCGGCCAAATAGCACCATGGGCTCTGCTCCCCACCTCCCACTCCATCCCACCTCCCCAGCCTTATTTTTTCTTTCTGAAACTTTAATGAATCACACCCACCCAATATAGTCACAGCTGGGCTTTTCCATATGTGTGTGTGTGTGTGTGTATATATATATATATATATATATATATATATATCCTTTAAGTTTTTACATCAGGAAAAATGTAACAAGATTGAGATATGAGATTAATGCTCTATTTCTTTACTTTTGACCTTTATTTCCTTGATCCTGAAATGACTGGAGTTCCAGGAGCAGCAAAAAGATGGAGACTAACAAGTGCAGCTCAGGTAAAGGAGGACACAGGCACTATGGGCCATCACTTTCCGTTCTGCAGATGTAAGATAAGACCCCCTCCAGTTTCCCATCCCTGCTTTCTGGGTCCTGTCAGGATTGCCATTGTCCTTCCATACCTTAGCTTGAATTCCTCTAGGCTCTTTGGCACCCCGACAGTCAAACTGGCACCAAGTCTTACCAATTTCTTTCCTTGAAATGTAGCTTAGTCTTTATTTTAGTTCTACTCTCACAGATGCTACTCTCACCCAGCCCTTCCCACCTTAAGCCCACAACAATCCTTCCCTAGTTCATTCATCATTTATTCATCCCAAAGCATGCAACGAGCACCTTGTAAATGCCAATCACTATGGTAGGCTTTGGGGTCACCATGAGGAAAGAAACAGTTTATAATTTGGTGGAGTGAGATTGGTAAATTCCCAAATTGTAAGATCTTTCCTTCCAGGTAACATTGAAAGCTCGTGGTGGAGTGCCAAAGGAGTGGCAGGAAGCTGGCTGGGGAGGTGCGGTTTCTGAGCTGGGTCTTAGAGGATGAGTACCAGGGAGCTGGCTGAAGCCGATGTGACGGGGCACTCAGGAAAGAAGAGACAGAGACTGCATGAGGGAGCGTGACACGCTCTGAATTCCCTGCTTCCGGGTTTTCGTTCACCCTAAACCACTCGGTTTGGCATGCGTGCTCAGACCTCCTCTTCCCCACTCACTGACACGTCTCAACTGCTCACTTCTTCCTCTGGTAGAAGCTGTTTGCTTGGTCATCTCCTCCAGCCCAAATCAGCTACAGTCAGACCTTAGCTATGCTTCCCGCTACCTCACTCATCCCCTCCGCTCCCTTCCCCTGCCACCCCACTGTAAGTCTTCCTGTCCTAAATCCTAAGCCTCACAACGCCCTCCTGCTCAGACTGTCTCCTACGTCATAACCTCTCCCTCGTTGTTTTGTGGGTTTAAGGCTTATTTCCTTCACAAATACCGAATTGTTTTCAGACTTCTGAAGTATCGACAATACCAAGCACAAGGCTGGGCATACAATGGGAATTCAATAAATCTCTGTACACTACCCCATGAATAAGTCATCTCCCCATGTTGGCTCAGGAAGCAGCCAGATAGATCCTGTTATAACATACCTAGACATTTAGAGGTTGTAGATCCCAGAGGAGCTCGGCTAACTTTATTCAACCCGGGGATTACAAACTCATGTCTGCAGCTGTAAAAATGGTAAACATGAGTAAGGGTCTGGATGACAGGGATATAAGAAATGGTAAACTTTTCTCTAAACTCTGTTATAAGGAAAATAGCCACTGGCAGCTGATTTTCGAATTCCGCATGAAGGGACCATAGGGAGGGGCGGGCACAGTGGCTAGGAAAAAGCGAAGGTGTAATTAAGGCTTCAGCTCATTGTTGCCATGCTGAAACGCAGGCCTGGTGTTGCCAGATGGCCTGATTTGCCAGAGAAGAGAAGCTAAAAATCTGAATTTTTATATAACATACCCCCAGGCCATGAAGAATTACAGCACAGGGCAGGTGGTGCAACGATCATGCATCCAGATCCACATGGGAAAGGTCCCGGGTTTATGCCCTGAGACCTTCCTCCACACTCAGACATGATACAGGTCAGCTGCGACTGGGGGTGGATTGTGGCACAACGACCCTATTGGGTTGCCTGTCTAGCTCTCGCTTATGAAATGCATTTTAAAAAATGAGGGCCAATCGGTGGTATAGTGGATAAGACGGCTGGATCCCATGTGGCTGACTGTGTGGTTTGAGCCCTGGACCCAGCAGTTTACAAAACATGCTTGGGATATGTGTGTGTGTGCACCAAAATTCTGAGAGGAGAATGGAAGAAAAGAGATTAAAGTAGGGGATGCTTTTTCACTTCCACTGTCTCTCTCTCTCTCTTCTCTCTTCTTATTTCTTAAAAGAGATTTTTGCTATCAGGTGTATGCACTCACCTGAGAGACAGAGAGAGAGAAAGCAAGAAACCATCCCCCAGGGGGATGGCCATGCTGCAATCCATTCTCCTCCATTCTCCTCTCAGGATCTGAGGAATGCACGCACACGCACCCAACATGAGTTTTAAGCTGCTGGGTCCAGGACTTGAACCATGGTCAACTCCATGGAAGTCTAGCGACATAACCATCATGCCATCTCTGGTCCCTCTATGTCTATCTTTCTACATTGAGTGCACATGCCCTGTAACAAGTTTAAAAAATAATAACAAATTTTAAAAATAAAGCGTTTAAATAAACACAGCATAAGCCAAGACTTAATGGACAAACAAACATCCACAGACTTGTGGAGGCTGGGGCTGCCAGCTGCTCTGAATGGTGAGCTGACCTGCTGCCACGCCGTCTCCACCCTATCAAAGTGTTCCCATGTACATGGCTGATGACACAGTGGTGACTCATGTCTCTGTTTTTACACATCCATTCAAACACTTACACACATTTATAGGCTCAAGACATGCTCCATGAGGTTAAGGTTGAAGAAATAAAGGATATTTGAAACTTATTTCTGGAAGCTGAGAACGGCTAGAATTTCAGGGTCACAAGGTATCTGAAGCCACGGGAGCTACCACGCCCTGGATGTTCCTAGGCAGATTTCAATTCACCATCCTGTGATGTCCTTGGACCCTCTTTTCTCATTGGGCCAGGTATTATATTCTCTCGATTGGGAAGAATGGTTATACATGAGCCTCGTGGGACTTTTGGCTGGACAAAACGAAAGAACAAGAGAGGGAGCACTACAGTTGGGAAGAGCAGAGACGGCACAAAGCTTCCCTGCATGGTTGAACCTTTCAGCCCTTCTCTGCCATGGGTGGTGTGGCCTGTTCCTGCAGTGCTTCCCAAATTTTAAGGTGCAGACATTCCTTTAGAGGTCTTGTTGAAATGCAGATTCTAATTCATTGAGTCTGGGTGGACTTGAGACTATGCATTTCTTTCTTTTTTTTTCCTTTTTTTTTTTTTTTAATTTTGATTTGCGGAACCGGCAGTTAGCATAATGGCTATGGCGCTGGACTCCCATGTAGTCCACTGTGGTTTGAGTACTGGACCCGGTGGCTTAAACTCATGCTGGGCGCGTGTGCGCGCGTGCCCAAGATCCTGAGAGGAGAATGGAGGAGAAGGGATTGCAGCATGGCCATCCTCCCTGGGGGATGATTTCTCACTTTCTATCTCTCTGTCTCTTTGTCTTTCTGGCGAGCACACGCACCCTATAGCAAAAACCTCTCCAAAAAAAAAAAAAATTAATTCGCCATAGGGCACATGTGCTTGCTGGGAAGAAACACACAAAAAGAGAGAAAGCAAGAAAGCAACCCTCACCCCCATGGGGAATGGTAAGACTGCAGTCCCTTCATTTCTTCCCCCCTCTTGGGATCTTGGACACATGTACCAATTGTATTTCTCAAGCTTCCAGGTCTGGTATTCAAACCTCATGGCTGGCCATGTGTAATCCAGCTGCCTGGACATGGGCTATCCCCAAACTCTGCATTTTTAACATACTCCCAGGTGATGGCAAAGCTGCTGAACTCTGGGCCACCCTTTGAGAAGCTGGAGCCAAGTGGACAAGAGAAGGCTTTGCCTTAAGGCCTTCTGGATTCAAGACCATTTCTAGTTCAGCCAGCTAAATCTCCTGGGGAAGCTCTCTCAGTTCACCTGTCCGAACCACACTGGTTCTTTCTATAGCTGGTGGTGTTGTCTTGCTCACATGATGCAGAGGCAAGAACGTGGGCTCTGGAAATGGACTGCTGGTTTTGAGTCTTCACTGCTTCCTCATTATGTGGCCATCGGTAAATTATTTAAGCTCTCTGGGCCTCAGATTCTTCATCTGTAAAAATGGAGACAATGGCAACATTGACTTCACAGGGTCGATACGAGGATTGAGAGAGCGTGAATGCATGCAACTGTTTGCAGCAGTGGCCGGCACATGATAAGCACCCCCAAACAGGGCAGGCAGTGGGGAAACGTAACAACCTTGGGGGAAGTTTCCAGGTTCACATCAGGAGATCTCTCTGAACATACTGGGTGCCTGTGTGCCCAAAATCTATGGCTGGCTGAGGCTGGAGTAGATCACCATGTGAAGACCCTGCTGAGGATTCCATCCCTGTCGTTTGTCACTCTCTTTCTCTCTCTTACTCTTGCTCGCTCTCTCATGAAAAAAAAAAATACATAAACTTAATAAAATAATAACTAAGCACCATCCCCCAAATGATGAATATTATCTGAGTGCTCTCTGAAGCAGAATACAAACAAATGCATTCCTTTTCTTGGCCTAGAGAAAGATACTCCGGACGAAGACAACATCCCTTGCACCCGCGACCTCTGTTGGAGGGATTCATTCACTTATGGAGAGTGGGAAAGAGAGAACCCTTCTGGGCCGCAGCCCCTCTCGCTCCTCAGCACTCTGGCAGCCTGCATTAGGCCTCAGCTGGTCCCACCCATAGGTATGGTGATGGGATTAATCTAGCTGAACTCAAGGGACAGCCCTGGAGTTCAGCCTCGGGGCTGGATTCAGGTCCTGGGGTGGTAAGGGGATGCTGGCCACAGCAACCTCAACCCTCTTTTGTCTTGCCCTGTTCTCTATCTCTAGCTGGGCCCTGTGAACCCCTGAAGGGCGACATCTCCCCACAGAATCTCCCTAGGTGGCTCTGGAGGGTCAGAGTCTAGAATGACGCTCTTGTAGCTAGTGCTGCTCTCTCCCTGCTGTGTGAGGTGGGAAGGGTAGCCTCTGGGGAGTTCCTATGTGCCCTGCCCTCCCTCTCACTTCCTCCCCCCACCTTGGCAAGCCTTTTACTGCTGGGGTTCAGGTGCAGAGTGGGAGGCGGAGCTAGACTGGGAAGGTCAGGGGAGGGTCAAACTTCCCCAGGTTCCAGGCCTTTTCTTTCCATGTTTCAAGGCTTACCCATCCATTCATCCACTCATTCATTTAACAAACATTTGTGAAGCACTTTCTACGCACCTCTGTCTGACAGAGATAGATTCCTAAAGAGAGCAGGGATGATTTATACTTTCTATAGTAAAATATTGATAAACGACTTTTCTTTTTTTGAGAGAGAGATTTTTGCTATAGGGCACGTGTGCTTGCTGGACAGAGACAGAGATACAGAAAGTGAGAAATCAGCCCTAGCGGGGATGGTCACACCACAATCCCTCCTCCCCCATTCTCTTCTTGGGATCTTAGGCACACACACACACACACACGTGCCCAGCATGAGTTTTAGGCCGCTGTTTCTGGACTCGAACTGTGGTCGGCCATTGTGGGAGTTCAGTGACATAACCATTACACCATCTGCTGTGGTCCCTCAACCACTAATTCTTATAAGATGCCTGTTTTAATAGTTGATGATTTAGGAGCCAGGTCATGGAGTAGTGGTAATACAATCAGACCCACATGAGAAAGGTTCCTAGTTTGTGTCCAGGACCTTCCTGAGCATGCTGGGTACACACATGCCTGTGATCCAGGTCAACTGAGAGTTGGGGTGGATCATGACATGAAGACCCCCACTGGGGGTACTGCTCTCTATCTCTCTCTCTTTTTTTTTTTTTTTGAGAGATTTTCACTTTAGGGCGTGTGCGCTCACCAGACAGACAGAGAGAGACATAGAGACAGAAAGCGAGAAATCACCCCCCAGGGGGGATGGTCACGCTGCAATCCCTTCTCCTCCATTCTCCTCTCAGGATCTTGGGCACACACGCACACGCGCCCGGCGTGAGTTTTAAGCCACCGGGTCCGGAACACGAACCACGGTCGACTACGTGGGAGTCCAGCGACATAGCCATTACGCTAACTGCTGGTTCCCTCTCTAATTTTTCATGATTTAAAAAATGAACATAAATATTGAGACCAGCAGTTGGCATAATGATTATGTTGCTGGACTCCCACAATGGGCAACTGCAGTTTGAGTCCCGGACCCGGCAGTTTGAAATATGCTGGGAGCGTGTGCGTGCATGCCCAAAAATCCCAAGAGGAGAATGAAGAAGGGATTGTGGTGTGTTCATCCACCTGGGAAGTGATTTCTAACTTTCTGTCTTTCTCTGTTTCCCCAATGAGCACACATGCCCTATAGCAAAAACCTCTCTCGGAAAAGAAAAAAAAAATTAAATATCTATGTGCCCACAGAAGAGCTTTTTAGGTAACTTCTATCCAACTAAACATTTTTGTCTCCTACACTCACAGGAAATTTTATATGAGCCACCCTTCCACATAGGGGAGAATCCAGACAGTCCTCGCCAATGCTACTCTGCGGCTTTCAGCTTCCGAGGGACTGTCTCTGAATGGAGGGGAGGCAAAGCTGCACCCAAAGGAAAACTAGAATCATCTCCCAGTGACAGCAGAGCCTTTCCTTGTCCCAGCTGCAGGTAACTCCGCAGCTTCCCCACCTGCCAGCAGCACACCCCACCTCCATCCCACCACCAGAGTGGGCACAGGGAGATGTATTCTCCCTGTGGGCACCAACAGATGGAGGAAAGGAATGAAAGGGAAGCAGTACCAGAGGAGAGGTGGAAGAGAGCAAACTGGAGGAGAAGAGGAAGGTGTCGGGAGGAAGTCAGAGAAGAGGAGAGATACATGGAGAAAAGGTAACAGAAGGAATCAGAAGAGACTCAGGCAGAGACTTGAAGTGGACAAGAGAAGAGATACCTCACTGAGCGATGCCTCACTGAGCTTTTATTTCTCTAATTTAAGACTTGAAAATAAAGCCATAAACCAAAAAAGGAACATGTTTTCTTCTCTGCTCAGACTATCCAAACCATTTAGAGGGGCCTCTCCTTTGGCTTCCCCTTTTGCCAGTTTTTCTTGCTAGTCCCTCTCCTAATTAAAGATTTGTGCCTCCCTGTCTGGCCTGTTCCTAACTTGGACTTGCCAGTCCAGCCTTGGTGTTCCAAATAGAAGTCTGAATTTGAGACTGCAAAAGGATTCTTTTTTAACTTTTACTTTTATATTTATTTTATTTATTATTATTATTATTATTGTTTTTAATTTTAGAGCATGTGCACTCGCCAGAGAGAAACAGAGAGGGAAACTGAGAAAGCAAACCACCAGGTCCAGGACTCAAACCATGATCAGCCATGTGGGAATCCAGTGCCTTAACCAACACACCACCTGCTGGCCCCAAGAGTGAGAAAGGACTCTAATGCAAAGATAGAGAGACAAGATGTGTAAGGTAGGGTGAATTTCTCTCTCTCTTTCTCTTTTTAAATTTTGCTATGGGACACGTGTGCTCACTGGAGAGAGACACCCAGACAGAAAGTGAGAAAGCACCCCTCAGGGGGGATGGCTACACAGGTCTTTTCTCCTCCATTCTCCTCTCAGAATTTTGGGCACGTGCACACATGTGCCCACAGTGTCTTTTAAGCCGCTGGCTTTGAGACTTGAACTGTGCAGTTGACCATGTGGGATGTAGCTGCCTTCACCACCACACCACCTGGCCAGCCCCTGAAATTCTCTTTTGTGTCCAGACTTCCTAAGTTTGCTATTGAATCAGCCCTACAAACACTGGCTCATTCTCTTTGGCAATGACACTGCCTTGAAATATTGGCAAATGTCGACCTAAAAAGGAAGACTGAGGCAAAGTTAAGAAAACCAAAAGGTTTGGGACCAGCAGTTAGCATAATGGCTATGTTGCTGGACTCCCATGTAGTCGATTGTGGTTCGAGTCCCGGAGCCAGTGGCTTAAACTCATGCCGGGTGCGTGTGCGTGCATGCCCAAGATCCCACAAGGAGAATGGAGGAGAAGGGATTGCGGCATGGCCATCTCCCCAAGGGGATGATTTCTCGCTTTCTGTCTCTCTGTCTCTGTCTTCCTGGCGAGTGCATGTGCCCTATAGCAAAAATCTCTCCAAAAAAAAAAGAATTATTTGGGGCCCAGCCAATGGCATAATGGTTACATTGCTGGACTCCCATGGTTCAAGCCTTGGATCTGGCGGCTTAAAACTCACATGGGGCACATGTGCATGCATGCCCCAAATCCCAAGAGGCGAATGGAGGAGAAGGGATTGTGGTGTGTCCCTCCTCCCTGGGGTGATAACTTCTCGCTTTCTGTCTCTGTTTCTCTCTGTCTCTCTGGCAAGCACACACACCCTATAGCAAAAATCTCTCAAAAAAAAAGATTTTTTTAATTTAATTATTATTTATTATTTTTAAAGATATTTTTGCTATAATGTGTGTGCACTCACTAGAGAGTGACAGAGAGATAGAAAGGGAGAAATCCCCCCCCCCCCCAGGGGGGATGGGCATGCCGCAGTCCCTTCTCCTGCATTCTCCTCTTGGGATATTGGGCATACATACACATGTGCCCAGCATGTTTTAAACCACCAGGTCCAGAACTTGAACCATGGGAGACTACGTGGCAGTCCAGTGATGTAACTGTTATGCCATCTGCTGGTCCCACTATTATTATTTTTTAATTTGACCAGAGAGAGATAGATAAAGAGAGAGGGGGAAAAGTGGAAAAGCAAGCCATCAGATTTGGGACTCAAACCACGGTCAGCCGTGGCAGAGATCAGCACATTTACCACCACAACACCTGCCAGCCCCTCAGATGTCTATCTTTAACCCTGACCGCTTTAAACCCCAGAGATACATATGCAATTGCCTACTCGACATCTTCATTTGAAGACTCAGCATACTCAAAACTAATTTGTCAATATTAGCTCTCAAAACTTGCTCTCCCCAGAGTCTCCTCTGTCCTAGTACATGGCAGCTTCATTTTTCTAGTTGCTCAAAACCAGGAGTCATCTTTAACTCTTCTCTTTTTCTTGATCCCATTTCTAACACAGTAGGAAATCCTTTTAAACTACTTTCAAAAGGTATTCAGAATCTGACACTTCTCATTAATTCCACTACGCCTACCCTCGAAGGAGCCACCTCATCACCCACCTGAATTATTGCAAAAGCCTTCTAAGTGCACTCTGTTTCTAACTTTACCTCTTTCAGTCTAAAGTGATACTTTAAAAATCTCAGGTCACATCACTTCTCTGCTCAAAATCTTCCAATGGCTTCCCATCTGTGTTAGTTAGGGTAAAGCTAGCTCTTTAAAAGATAAACCTCATGATATCAATGGCATAAAATAGGAAGTTTACTTTTCATTCACAAAAAGGTCCCCCCAAAT